CGGCCAAGTTCTGCTCAGGCGCCGCCATGGCTCCGCTCGGCTCGGCTGGGCTCTGCGCGCGCTCGGGTCCAACGGCCGGCAGCGGGGCCTTCGGTGTTGGGGCCGCCCTCTGCCCCAGGCCGCCCTGCACGCCAGGCCCGGCGCCGCCCCCTCGGCACCCAGCGGGCAGGCCTCAGCCCCAACCCCCGGCTCCAGGCCCCGGCCCCAAGCCCCGGCCCCAGATCCCCGCTCCAGGCCAGTGGGCCCGGCCTCCCCTCATGTCATGTCTGCCCAGGTCCTTTCTGCTCCTGTGCTAAATGGAGTGGCCTGGTTCATGCTGCCGCTGGTGTGAAGCCGGTGGCAATGTGGCAGCGTGCACGTTGGCTAAAATTCAACAAAATGCAGGCCAGTGGGCTTGCCTGGACCCAACCAGGCACAGCGTTGTAGGGATGTGGATATCTCAGCTGGGAAAATGTCTTCCTGGGAAAAAACTTGAGATTGCAGGGACTCTGGTTTACTGCCTGAGATCCTTGGCTAATGGTGTTGGCAAAGATCTCAAGAAGGTTATCCTCTCCTAAGGACAGTCTGAAGCTTTCTGAGCTTGACTTCCTTGGAAAAACAGAAAATGGCATGCAAAGTTGCCAGAAGGAGCTAAAAATAGCCTGCGCTAATATTGCTGCTTTCTCCTGCTTGCATGAATGGGAGTGTCTATGAATTTCATTTCCTTCTCGCAAAAATGTTTCACCTTCCAAGCAGAGGAAGACTTACGCGTTTTTGTTCTCCCTATCAGGGTCATTCTCCATCATGCTTATCTGAGTCAGAGCCAGCATCAAATTAGTGGCTGTGAGCTGCCCCCGTGGTTACTCTGCGGGCAGGGGAAGGAGCGTGTGTGCGAGGGAAGCTGTGAACAAATGCCTTACTCAGTGTTTACACAGCAATGCAATTGCTGCCACATCACCGCCTCCGTGGATAAAACGAGTATTTACATTTCTGCAAATTATGGAAAGACAGGGAACGGACGTTTCCTCCTGGACATGCTTGTTTCCTCAAGGCACCCATTCACACCTTTCCTTTTGGGACATATTTGCGGCTAACTTCCAGACTTCATTTGCTGTGCAAATGGTCTGCATTGTTCTGTCTGCCTCCCAGCTTGGAAGTCGCTGTGAAATCCCACAGCCCTACCAGCAACGTGCAATCTGGCCCTTCAGCTCCAAAATTTCAAGAAACACTGGAGACATGCTGGCTTAGCTGAGAACTTGGGGCTCTTGCTACAGTACAACTCCTTTGGGTTACAGGAGTCATCTTCAGCTCCTACAACACTACATCTCTCTATCATGATAGACTCTGTTCCTCAGTATTACTGATTTTCGGATAAACCCCTGACGTTAGTGGAGTTGATGAGAATTAAGCATGGCTGGGTCCACCTGGGAAGCTGGTGATTCCCATGCAGCCTTATTCCTTCTTTTCTGAAGGGAAACTTCTCACAGGCTCAATGTTTGCCCAGGGAAACTTCTCTCCATTTGAGACTACTTCCATTTCCTGGGGCACAGCTGCAGCCTGCCATTGTAAAAGCAGTGCTGCAGCACACCCTGAGATTTCTTCTGTGTACATCAAACAGGCCAGACCAACGGCAGGTGTGTTGGGCCAGCCAAGAAAATGTGTGTTTCAATTGCCACAGGCTTTGTCTTGCTGCAAAAGTGGCCTCTGTGCTGCTTTGATCTGCTTTTGCGCACCAGGAGAGGCTCTGAAGAGCCCAGCCTCTGGCTGCTGCTGT